AATTGTTCTGCTGGTCCCAGTAATGACAAATCACCATCATACAGCCGAAGCTTCAACTCTTCATCTGTTGTTGGTTGCATTCTCAACAATGTTTGCAGAAGAGCGGTAGGAAGCTCATTTGCTGTTATGAAGAAGATAAACAGAAAAAGTCTCAGTGCATTAAAATTGATTTATAATGGAGAAGTTTTGTGCAATCAAAGAAAATTGCCAGTGATGGTTGTTAAAGAGCTCTCCAAGGTGCTTGAAAGTTTAACACAAAGCACAAATAAAAAACAGGAAAACCGGAATTTTATGTTTGTGCAGGAAGGAAAACAAAACCTCTAATAATCAATATAATGGATAAGCAGCTCCACTGACTACCGAGTAATAAATACATGAAAATCAAACATAAGAAGGGAAAAAACAAAAGCAGACCCATGGCTGGCAGCTGCTATAATCTATTTTACTCCTATTCTCATCCGATACAGAAAATATGGCATCACATGATCTCCGTTCTGCTAAGTACAAGATAAAAACGTACCTTCCATGAGTGCATCATGGACTTCTTGTTTTTTGACACCCAAAGCCTTTAATGATATTGCCAAATTCTGTGACTTCTTTGGATCAAGAAGCTGAATATACTGAGTAGATGTTTCACCAGGGGGGGATTCCTTCTTCCCTTTGCCATTGTTCTTACCACCAGCAGAACTGTAGCTAAATAGTGTTTCTATCATATCTTCATCAAACCTGTAATGATGTCATTACATCATCATCAAAGTGTGGTTTTATACTGACAACAACAGTAAGAAGTAATGACTTACTGAAAAGATCCTGATCTAATCTGATGCCAGACATTGGACTGATCCGGGTTTGCAAGAACTTTATCCCAAAAGAATGGCTTCAGCTTTGTCTTAGGAGCAGTGTCATCGCCATCTCCATCGAGGCTTCCTAAATGATTGGGTCCAAGATTTGATGGTTGTGTAGTTCTTGAACTTCCTTGAGATGGATGAGTAGCTTTTGGTGGTGGTGGAGGAGGCCGAGCACCAATCTTTCGGTTTGGTAATGGTGGTCGTGGAGCAGATGGTGGAGGGATAGCAGGTGGAGGAGGGACAGCAGCAGGTGGTGGAGGTGGGACAACAGGAGATTGTGCAGGAAGGTTAATAGTTGAAAGAGTAGACCCCCCAGGAGGATGAGGAAGATGTGCCTTCGGTTCAGAAGCACCTTTGAGACCAAAAGATGGAACAGCTGGAGTACAGTGATATCCTGATAGTATGTTAGATTGTGATGCACCATCTGAGTTTACATCCAAAGAGAAAAATGACAATTTTTGTTACCTGAAAAATCTCCATGTTTATCGTTATGATTTGAAACCACTGGTCCAAATGATTTTATTGGTGAGCCTAAAATTAAGAAAAGAAGAAAAAAATAAGAAAAGAAGAAAACCATCAAATGAAGCAATCTGTCTAATTAATTATGTTCACAATAAAATAAAACAACCACATACCAGCCAAGTCATGTAAGCCTACATGCAAGAGGGCCCCTTCATCCCTTTCCTTTATGGAGGAGTTATTTTGTCTACAGCATTTCTGATAACAACAGAATACACATGCAAGAAGAAGAGTTGTCCCAGCTGAAGATATCAGCACAGCAATAATAATTAATTTAATCTTGTTTTTTTGCTCCTCCTCGTGTAAAAATGAAGCAACACCTGGATTTGTTTTGGATGGTTCTGATGGAGAAATGTTAGTGGGCAAAACTGATATCTGCTGATTGGGAGGTGGAGAGCTTGCAGGTGCAAGATCATAAGATGGTGATCGAGTTGGAGTGGGTGTTTGCTGTTCAACCCTTGTATTAGGTGACAAAGCTGAAGCAGGAGAAGGTCCTGAAGCTGGAGACATGGCAGGTGCAGTATTTTGAGGCATATCTGCTAAATGTCTTCTTAGAACAGGATGGCAACTATGTATCAATTCCAAACACTCAAAATACATATTTTCCAGTCTATAATATTCACCAGAAATATCAAAGTGGAATCCTTTCCTAACAAGACATTTGATAACTTCATGTTTTATGTCAGGGGGTAGAGATATCATGACTTCAGAAACACACATGGAACCCTGCACAACAGAAAATCAACTTATTGTATGATTATCAACTGCAGGCTGCAATGTAACAACTTACAAAGGCCTTTAGCATTGCACATCTTTAACTCTTTTATATCTAGGCAATGAGAATATACAAAATTCAAGGGTAACAAATATAGAATTAAGAGCCTCAATGATATTAGTCAGAAATCAGATGAACCATGTAAGGATTTCTAGACCATGTACTAACCAATTTCATAAAATACATCACCAAAGTGAGGTTAATCATGCTTAAAGCCTTCATAGGAGAAAGAGTGATTACTTTAGCTGTAAGGAAGAGATACCATGTATAACAAAAGTCATGAAGATTGTAATTAGCTGTTAGGGTACGCCAGCTAGTCCTGCTTCTCTAATTCGAGTAAGAGAGTTGCCTTCCAAAGAGCAAAAGGAAAAAAAGATGATTATTGATGGAAAAATAGAGCATAATGTCCAAAATTTACTGTTGAGAACATTCATGGCCTATTTATAGGCTAACTAGTTTTGTACATATTCTTCTGTGAGGAGTCAAAGAAACAATTAAAAAATTAGCTACTACTGGTTGTCAGTTAAAACGGGAAGTCTGTTTGGCCTACTTCTGCTCAAGGATGATACTCTCCTTCCAAGGATAAACATCATGAGACTATTTCCATACAAGAAAAACGGTCGCGAAGCTTGAGAGGTCCAGCTTGTTGTGGTTTCTGCCGTTGGACCTTGTGCAGCGGAAATTGGCCCATACGGCCTTCATTGGTGTCAATCTAGGCATACTGTCAAGGAAACCTAGGAACACAAGAAGCAGAATATAAATCAAGAAGGAGAAAAAAATGGTTGAAAGGTAAAATGCTGGAAATTTGGCAGTGGCTGATCGTTCACTGGTGGCCTACTAGACAATATAACTACAAGTATAACAAAGAAGTTATCTTTTTCATCAATACAGACTTGGCTTGGCAGACTATAGAAGACGATCAGACAAATTAATCTAGCTATGAGCATCTCACTATCTTTTTGCACCTTTGTTATTGAAAGAAGAGAACAAGAAAATTGGAGCCTCGATGGTAAAAGTTCATTTGAGGATGATCTTTAGGATTGCCAAAGAATTTTCAACCTCTTCCTAGGTCAATGGATCACCCATGGGAGCAGTGCAATTTTTTTTTAAAAAATTTTTGCCTGTCTTACAATGAAGTCAAACTCACTTGTTATAGGATCAAGCAAGAAGACTGTTTCCATAAAAAGAACCCTAGTTACATAGGTCACAGAGGAGCACGCGAACTGTGATGCCAAGGCCTAATTACTTAGATGATAAAGGTCAATAATCAGTTTGCAATTGGGTAAGGAGGAAAGACGAATGAGCTCCACTGGATTCATTACTAAAGCAGATAATCTTGAACAAAAAACAAGGAAGCACTGATGACTAACGAAGAAACCTCATGGACTTTGGTCTTAGTTGTGCCTTTTTATGTGTTGCATTAGAGCAGAACAGGATCGCAGTCATCGATCATCAAACCAGCTCCTTCCTCCCCAGCGCCAAGAAATATATATCACATGCATGGAACTTAGATGCATGTGTCTCATCAGCTGTACATCAGCACAACTAGGTTTGCACTATCAATATCGACCATAACTTGCAGGACAAATTAGCACTTGCGAAACTACGAACAATTAGTTTCAATTCACTAAAAGTTCACTACAAGAATTACAACAGTAGTCACTATAAAAAAGATGAATGATGTACAGAAGCGAGAGAGATCACACACAAGAATTTAAAGAACAAGAATGCCATACCGTGTCTTCGTGCAGCATAGGACCCATCAACTTAGAATCTCCCCATCCCAACAGCAATCTCTTTATCCCCAGCCTCCCTACCGATCCTTTCATCACCAGAACACACAACAAACTAAAAGAAGCAATGAAAACCCCGATAATTTTCGCATCCATCGTTTCTTGGATCAATATTCCACCCGCGGTCGATCCTTTTCATCGCATCGGCAGCTCAACCTCCGCATCAAATCAGCTCCCAACACAACACAAGCAATATCCCCATCAGAAACCACATTCAATCTTTGTCAATCGCCAAACTTGAGGCAAGAAACAGAGGAATTATTCTCGGGGTCACCGAAAGAACTCCGAAAAAAAAACGAAAAAAAAGGAATTCAAGATTTTATTGTGCTTCCGACCTCGGATCGGTGCAACCAAGCAGAAGGGTAAGAATGCTGGCCGCGTGATCACGGGGTGGAAACATAGGGTTTGCTCGTTGGAGAGGCGACGAGGACGAGCAGAGGCCGAGGAAGGGACGATTAGGGGATTTGTTTATATATTAGTTTAAATCTCCGATGCCGGCATTGGAAAGAGGGAACGAACGACGATACAACAAACAGACGTGCGGAAGTGATCGAATCCGATCGGCTGCAAGTTTGTTAGAGAACATGCTCCTTCCAGTAGCCTTGTTTGACGAAGATTTTGCACACTGTTGAAGCGGGTGATATAGCTGCCGCGTCGTGGATCGTATTGCAAACTCTTGTTTGCAATGTGGGTTGCGTGAGAGAGTGAGGTTGTTCTAATAAGGTACTTAATCGGGGAAATCGGATTTGGCCTTGTTTTATCATGAATAATTAATTATATGTAACACCGCAAGACATACCCTTCCCCTCACAGCAGTTTAGTTTATGGTTCCCAATGTCTTATTTTGGGGTAAACCTCAAATCTTACTGTTAAGATGTTATAGCTAATCTACCATCGGCGCTTGTCACCGTAAAAGAATACGAGAACAGTGTGACTTATTTTATCTTTTTGTTTATAGTTTCGTTCTTGTTGCATTTGATTTGTTTGCACTTATTTGGTGGATCACTTGATGGTTATGTAACTTTAAAAGACGTAAAAGACAATAGCAACCAGACGATCTCCGCATTAAGCACAACCAAGTAAAGTCTAATTTGTAAAACAGAGAATTAACCGTGTGGCACAACATACATATCTCTCATGAAGAAGTCTCGCTTCCAGCCAAGATACTAAAAGACAAGTCCATGGGTACACTAGAAGTTTATGGGCATCATGTTCTTCAAGTTCGCATCAGTCTCCAATGGCAGCACTTGTGCAACCTAACCCTCCCATTTAAGAGAATTATTGCACACCAGGGAAAACCAAGTAATTTAAATTTGCAAAAAAAGAATCTGCTTTAATGATTCGTAGCCTCTCATGAATGAGGAAGCTTTGATGGAGCTCAAGCTCTGTTAAAAACCAGATGATGGTTCTGATGTTTGGGGAGGTGGTGTCTGTGGTTGTGTCGGGCCTGACGGGGGTAGTCTTGGTCTGGCGTACTCGGCAAAAATAACCCATCCATCGAGAAACTGCAGCCAAATATAACAATGAGAAGATGATCAAGCAGGAAGGGTTGAAACGTGGTCAATAAATGATATTGGAATTGCCAAATATAAGTGACCTTAAAGTCATGAATATTTAGTTGCAGCAAGGTGAACCAATGAGGATAGCTAACAATTCATGTTGCATTGACTCAATTATTAGGATCCATTATGGTTGGGTCTCTGTATGTGATGCATAATGTTTGCAACTGACTCTTAAAAATAATATTATGTACATCAATTCTGCTAATAAACTAAGCAAATTCTGCATGTTGCATAATAAAGGGTTAACATAGGTTGAACACAAGAACCAACATGCCAACTCACCTTGCCGTCCATGCCTTTTATGCCTTCTGCTGCTTCTTCTAATGTTGCATACCTCACAAACCCAAATCCTTTGGAAAACCCAGAAATGCGGTCAGTCACAACCCTAGCTGCAGAAAGTGAAGATAAACTGTTGAATTAGCATCTTATAGATATGATCTCATAAAATTAACTTTCAAAAAGAAAAACATACCATAGACTATTTGCCCAAACTTTGAAAAAGCTTCTCTGAGTCCTTCCGACGTTGTTCGCTTGCTAAGTCCTGCAAATCACTCCTTTGCAAACAGTCAGAGTATAAAAGTTGCAGAGCAAGACACCATCAGACATAAGAATAACAGACTAGCCACAGAAACAAGGAAACGCACTAAAAGCCAACAAGCCAGATAAAAACAAGCTGCACAAACAAATTGCAAAGAAACAAGATAAAGGAACACAAAGTTATGTGGACGCTTAACATCTGTCAAGCAGGAAAATTTATGAAGGTCCCAAGTGAAATATGATGCAACTACATATCATTCAATTTCTTCAATGGTTTAAATCTGCTTACATCATTTGTTAATCAAAATACACCAAACCACCCTATACCCAAAACCTCCTTCCACACAATGAATGGTAAGTTTCCTAGAACAAGCAATTTAAGTACATTGTATCTCCCTATGTTCAAACTACCAATTTCTACTTCTAGACAAAGCTGAACCTTGCTTTTGGAGGATGTGATTCAATAACATAATGAATATATACATTTTCATTAGAACGTCCCTCTGTGTTGAAGTTTCATCATACACATCATAGATTGACATGACAACTAATATTTTTCATCATACACATCATAGATTGACATGAAAACTAACATTTCTCATGTTGATACAACCATAAAACCTGGATCAAGTATCAATATGACCAATGATTTAAAAAGGCGCCCAAGCACTCGCCTATGCACTCGAGTGAGGCAATGTCTGAGTGCCTCACACAGAAGCTAGGTGATGCACTTTAGTGAAGTGCCGCCTGGGCACTCGCCTAAACCCAAGCGTTGTGGCGCCTAGGGTGAGTGCCCGATTGAATGTAAGCAATCAAACTAGATGGCCAACTCTGGTTCGATTGAACCAACTAAACATTATAGTAAAACCACGCCCCTCCCCTCGGCCCCCGAATCCTAATTCACCACCCCAAGTCACCTCTGGTCCCGCCGAAGGTAGTCGTCGCCATCATTGTTGCTGCCGTCCGCAGATGCATCTATCGTCGTTGTCCTTGTCCAAAGGTTCCTCCATCATCACTGCCCTCTCCTTCCCCACGTTCCACTCGATGACTCCTTCCCCACATTCCACTATCGATGACTCCTTTTCTCACCCTATTTAGCACTACTATTATGGTTACATCTCAGGTGTTAGAGAATTGCAAACATATACAAGACTATTGACGAAGGTAAAAATGAGTGCAAAAGTCTCAAGTTTATCTCTCGCCATTGGTGAAGAGGAAACCTATTTTGATGTAGATGAATAAGAGAAAGAGAAATATGATGATAAGTTTGAGAATGACGATGTTAATTATGATGATGATTGAATTTGATAAAGTTTTATTGTTTTAAGTCTTTTGACATTTTTTGTTATTATAAAATGGATAATGTGACTTGGTACTTTAGATATTTTCAATTTAATATCGTATTTTTATTTATTTTATCATATTTATTCATTATATTATTTTTTTATATTTTAATATTTTAAAGCGTTTTGCTTCGCTTTGGTGGGTGCCTAAGCGAGAGCCTAGTGCCTTAGCCGTTTTGGGACCTCGGGGTCATTTAGTGTTTAGCGCTTTTAAAAACACTAAACATTACTAAGCTGGATGATAGGTGAGCATCTGAATCACCCTCCCCCTCCTAATTTTATGCCACTAACATATCTTTTGTGTAAAGAATATGCTATATAACTGGTCCGAGGTCAGTCAATGAGAATATTTTCACTCGATCTTACATGAAATACATTGAATGGATATCGAAACCAATATTTCACCAGAATCCATCATTCACAATGCATCAATCAGATAATAATAACACATTGAATTAATCATCCCTAATTGCTTTCTTAAATCCAACAATGTTTATATCATGTAACATAAACATGTATACAACATTCTAGACTAAAGTAATTCTTTACAATTGTGAACTCAAAGGAATGATGCACTTGAATTGCCAATTTCATATATCTACGTGTTCCAACATAGAGGCTTCAAAGTTTTTCCTCAAGTCTTGTTTTCTTTGTTTCTACAAGAATATTTCACACAATCTTTAGAAACCACTAGCTTTTGAAACAAAACACATTTTTTAACAAAAATTAGTTTGAATAAAGTATATTCATGGCCATCAAATTCTCCAACCAATAGTGTCCGCTAACAAAGACAATCCCTAGTCATCATATTTAAGGCACTTGCTATCCTCTAGTTGTAGTGTCTTCAGCAAGTACCCTGAATTAACAATGTCGGCTATGTCAACATTGACACTAGGCTGCTTACTAACCATTCATATAGTCAATTGTTATCTTTAATACATGGTAGAACTGCCGAATGATAAGTATCACTAGCTAACTGTTAACTAGTTCCTGTGACACCTTAAAGAATTACCCGACTTTATTACATTATCATGTAACTTAGCTAACTATGGGCAGAACTGGCAGGGCACATCATGCCTCAAGCTGGGCGTTGCCATATTACCCCTTGCCACCTACAGAAACTCGAACATGTTTCTGCTCCAGTGATTTGAAGAAGATAATTTCTCTACAAAGTTGATTACTAAAAAATGTTTTTGTCTAACCAATCCTTTTATTTGGCTTCCAACACATAAGGTGCTTCTACAGAAATGTTTAAATAGGAGCTTCTTCAATATCTGTTATAATGAAAGAAATGTATTTAACTCTTGCAAATAAAATAAAAAAACTTGAAACAATTGCATCAATTTTCTTAAAGCAATATTAGGTTTTCTTGGTCCTAAAACATTTCATTTCCTCAAACCATTGAAGCTTGTGGACGACAACCAACAATCAAAATCAATCCTCTCATGTTACCTTTGTTACAGCTCAAACCTAGATTCAACGAACTGTCATAAATGCGAGTCTTTCATAGATCAGTTTCGTATACACAAGCCGCCAGAGTAGGGAAAAGAGTCTTCGACTAGTTTCTGGAAGAAGGGCAAAGATAAACCACTCAACCACACAACAGCCAAGAAACTTAAGCACTCATAATCGAGTTACTATGATCAACAACAAGAAGAGTTAAAGCCCCCATATTATCCCGGACCATCGAATCGTAAAACAGAAAGAACCCTAGTTGCATAGAAGACGGAGAAGAGAAGACATAAAAGAAGAGGAGAGGAAAGGATAAACCAGGGTCTCGCCTGAGATAAAGAGGTTAGTGGAAGGCTCCGCCGGCGGGGCAGCGGCAGCTGGAGTCGGGGGCGTGAAGGCGGAGATGGAGAAGAGGCGCCGGAATCCCGATCGCATCGCCGCCATCGCTCCACTGTCGCTCCCGGTCCGATGAGTGGCCCGACTCAGATGATCCCACCTCGCCCTTTATAGCAAGGGCAGTGAAAGCGTCGACCGCCTCTTTTACCCACGTCAATTTACTAAATCGCCCCCATCAAAACTCTGGTCGACGGGGCGATTTACTAAATTGCCCCGTCTATGTTATCCATAATATATACATATGTATATGTATATATACATATGTATATATATACAAAAAAAATACTGCTTTTGACGGAATAGATGTGGTTTTATATGCAAATAAATTATGAATGAATATATTAGAAGGTGAGTTTATAGGCACTTTTTGGGTACATCCAAACACACACAGTAGAGGATTCTTTAGTGGTAGCATCTCAATCTATCTATGCTCCCTTGAGCAGGACAACTAAGATTGCTGCAATTGCCAGAGCCATGAAGGATGCACCCGTAGCAAAGTTGACTGATGGCCTATCGTCTTCATGGCTAGTCTTTGTGTTGGTTGAACTGGAAGCTCCTGCTGAAATCCCCAAAAGTTCTTGAAGGAAGCTGGATATATTTATTGATCACTGTTTCCACCACTTTATGCTTAACATCATGCACAAAGTCAGCGATCACCGATCTTCCTGTTGCTTCAGCTGCCGAAGAAACTAAAGATACATCACAAGTTCATTTCAAGTTGATATGTTAATAGAAGTGAATGCACACTCACTTGACATGTAAGTTCTGTAGAATTCCATGACTTTCTCATTCTTCATTATGGCATCCCAAACATTCTTGTTGGAAGCAAGCTAAGCAATAACACCCTGCACAAAGAACCATATAAATGAATTGCAAGGCACAGAAAATTCATGGATGTTTAATTCAAACAATTAAACAGAACTAAAAATGTCGGAGAAAAGAAATATGGAATTGGTGATATCACAAAGCACATTCAGATCCTTACGAACGTTCTCTAGACAGATATTCCATCTGAGCGGATAGTAAATCTTATTTAATTTATCATAAATTCCACCACTGGTAATGTTTCAACAGTATGACAACATAAAAATCTACAAACAAAATCCATAAGCAAGTTACAATTCTTCTAATGATAAAAGGTTGAATCCTCGGGCTCATTGTAACAATCCCAGCTGGATGACTTCTTAAAGTTAAATGACTTCTATGTTATTAGTCTGTCTTGCACATTGTGATTGACTAGGTTTCTGAATATTTCACTTGAGATTTGAAAACCTCGACTTGGTGGTAAGAAATAGATACTGGTGTCCACTTTTGTGCCAAATAACAATAAATTAAGTTAAACATTATGCCACAATTAGCAAGGAAATTGTGAACAAGCATCAGTTTGATGCAACAGATGTTCTCTTTAATTGAGCATTTGGAAGATTCTATAGAATTACACTACAAGCTTGATCACTTCTTTGTCTATAGAATAACTTCTTCAAGGAAGAACTAGTGCCTGCATACCGAAAGGAGACACTTGCAGCCACCCAAAAAAAGAGATTTAGGTTAAGTAATTCATGTTTGATACTAAACATAAAAACGTCTAACTAATAGATACATAATCCTAAATAAATACATCATGAGTTCAAGTGCAGAATTGCAACTCTGTAAAATGTGTTTTTGATCATCTTAAAAAAGCAAAGCACAATTCTGTGCCACTAGAAGACTTCAGACTATGCTCAATTTACTTCTTGGACAAAATGTATACACAAAATTTAGGTGGAAAGGCAATTGGTCCAAAATTTAAAGTGAAAAATCATCATTAACCCTTACAAACCAACAGAAGCAAATATAGAGTGCGCTATTAAATGTTAGTTCAATGCATTATAAACCAATGATTTCTAACTAAGTCTGCATTAAACTCCTTGACACGCCCTTACAAATTAACAGAACTAAGACTGCATTAAAGTAAGACTGCATTTAACTAAGTCTGCATCAGATTAAGTCTGGACTAAACTGCATTAATTAATTAACAGAAGTAAAATAAAAGAGTGTATCCAAAAAATAGGTTGACATGCCTTCTTTGAATGTATCAAATATAAAATATTGCCTTTTTCACAAGCTCGAGCATATTAATTCATAGATAACACATCTCAAAGTTTGAATGACTGTCCATGGAAGACCGATGAATGCTATAGTTGACAAGGTGAATCAGCCAGAATAAGTGGTGTGAGAAGAAAAGAGACAAAGGAGACAATAAAAAGAGATTGACTGCTCTTGATTTAACTAGTGATATTGCCTAAAAAACTCAATTGTTATAAAAAAACAGTGAAGCTGATCCAAACAGTTACGACATTGTGGAATGTTGTTCAATATCATTGATTACCATTTACAATCTCTTAAAATCTCTCAATACATGTTATGTAGTACTCAAAATATTTCAGTCATATTAACACAGCTACCCTATCATTCAGTGTAAAACACTAACTTTATATCTTATGCAATAAATTAACAGATAATCACAAAAATGCTCAAGGAAAACAAAATCCATCACCAAGTTCGTGCAGAAGTGCATCATAAATTCCTAATATTGTTGCATTCTTTTGAACCTGAACTTCCGGACTTCCTTGCAGCAGTGAAAATGCTCGAACAACATGTCCCTGCATTGATGGAATAATCCCTGAGGCTTCATGGTGGGCAGACATATGAGGAACTTCCGTAGCAGGGAAATTGGTGCTTGGAGAGAAATACACTCTGCAATAAAATCAAACAATTAGTAGACTATCCTTACCAGAGAGGACCCTAAAATAGTTGTCACATCCCTTTCATACATCAACGCTTATCTCCAATTTACTGGTCATTCTTGCACTAACCAATACATTTAAACGTGCAATCATTTAGGGAAATTTCATGCCCTGTATGCTGTTGTCGCAAGAGATTAACCATATGAATTATCACATATTGCATGATTGAGCCACTGATATCAATCAAATTAGATGCAAACCCTAAAGGAAATTTCCGCGGCTAAAACGTCGAAATTGAAGCGAAGCAGTGTCAATTGTGTTAAAAGGAGAATCTTTATCAGGTTTATTTGAAAGAGGGACGGGAGACGAAGCTTACTTCTCGACGGCATCTTTCAGATTGGAAGTGGCCTCCTCCAGCGTCGGGATGGGCTCGAATACGAGCCTTGGGACCGGATGGAGCGAATCGGGGGCGAACCCCTGCTCCTCCTCCCCCCACCCACGCCGTGGAGATAGTAGCCGCCTCGTGGAGGCACTTATCGGGTGAGGTGATCGACATCGACGGCCCTCCTTCGGCTGCCGGCGGCACGGGGGAGGCGGTCAAAGAGGCCGGCTTGGGAGCCCTCCCGGCAGGCATCGCCGCACGGCCGGCGAGTGGGCCGACCGATCGGTAGCCGCCGAGGGACGCGGCCTTCGCGGCGGTCCTCATGGATCCTCCGCCAATCTCCTTGAGACGCGCGCTCCCTCTCTCTCTCTCTCTCTCTTCCCGAGCCCTCTCCCTTTATACTCGGGGAAAAGGAAGAGCACCCCTTGATGTAACGACTAAAGACGCGACCAAGCATGCGAAGAGCGACGCGCTATCGAGGAAGCGAGAGTTCACGGCGGCGCGCCTTTCGGCGGACGCCGCGGCAGCCTGTCGTGAGCTGGGCTGTTGGGTGAGTCGGGGAACACGGAAGCATCTCCGGGTGGCTTCGTTCAGGGTTCGCCAACGACACGACAGCGGAAGCCCGTGGGACAACGTTTGGCGTCCCATCGACGTGCCTGTGAGAAGACAAAGTAGGTCATCAGTTACCGGCAATAGTAAACCGAATCGAAGAACAAGAATCTCCGGCGATTTAGGATGTTGAAACAGGGCAAGGAATCTTGCAATCTGGATCCCGCGATCCATCGGGCACGCCGTGGAACATCAAGATTCGACGACAGCTTCTGCAACATGTCTGCTGCATGATTCAAGATGCCATCAATCATCCATGGAAGAGAGAGAACAAAGAATTAGCTGCACGAAGGAGCTGACAACGCAGGAAGCTTCCATGTCTAAGATTAATAGATCGATGCACGATCATCGTCGAACAGAACATTATTCACACAGAATAAATGCATGGAAGTGTCGCAAATCTAAGTTGGTGAGGAGACGCTGAAGGTTTCTCCTTTTCGACAAACCGAAAGGTCCGAGCCGTCTGATCAAGTACTATTTTATTACCGGGGACCACGTGTCGGCGTCTGATAGCCCCACGTGAGACTTCCAAGGTAGATCCAATGACTTATGTCCACCGACCACAGTGTTGCTGACCGCTCGATTAAGAAACGCGTCATCGTGATGCGTGCGCCTTTTCTTCGCTTCCCGAAGCAGTCGGTCTAATAACTAACTAAAATGGCGCACCCACCACCGCGGCGCCACCCAGTGCTCCTCTGTCATCAGCCATCCCCAGTTCCTTTCACATCCCGAGGATCCAGTTGTGCTTCCTCTGTCGCTTGTGGAGGCGGCCGTGTCTTTCTCTCTTGTCCACTGACCACCCTTCTCCAGACACTAAAATATGGAGCCACCCTGCTCAAGAGACCACCGTGGAGGAACCAGCATGGATGATGCCACTGCCTGCCCTCGTTAAGAAAGGCCTCTACGAACCATTTCAGGACCTCTGTCCTTATATAAATGCCTTGAGGCACTAAGCTCTCTCCCGCAAGATCTCCAGACCCGAAGCTCCTTGTTTCGGTACCGACGCATACTGCTCCAAGCCAATGGCTCGCTTGCTTCTCTTGGGCTTGCTAGTTCTGGATCTCGCGGCAACGCTAGCGGTGGCGCGGCCGACGCCGGCGGAGTCCAGAGTCACCGCGCTGGATCTCGGCGGGCCTCACTCGGCCATTGCGCCATCCCAGAGCGCGAGCCCAGGCGTCGGGGAGTCGGGCGTCGCCGGCGCACCGGAGGGAGCGGCGCGCATCGGGAAGCGCCACCGACCCTTCGACAAGTCGATCGCCGGGGCGGAGGTGATACTCGGAGGGCTCGCCACCGCCATCTTCGCGGCAATCTTCGCCTACATTCGGGTCACCAGGAAGAGAAGCTCCGAGAACAAGGTGTGAGCTTGCAGTGGCTTTTACCTCCTTGTGAAGTGGGGGGGTGTCCGAAACAGAGGCATTAACACTCATGTAATGTTTCGATATGTATAGAAAGTGACAGACGAAATGATCTATAGAAACAATGAAACTATTTTTCATCCCTCGCATCGACAAAAACATGATAGAGTGATACTATTTCTGTGTGGAGTCCGCAGCGGCAAAATAAGGAGTTGTGAGGAAGGAAAAATAAAAATAAAACCGATAATAAGAGGGTATAAATATTTTATTATTTTTAAAAAGGATTATCAATAGTAAAAAAAGATTTTTAGAAACTAATAATTGATGCCAGCAAAGTGGAAGGAGGGCGGGGTGACTACCGAAACTACGGAGAAGCGCAGGAAGGCGTGTTTGCAGAAGAAGACTAAGTTGAGACAAAGACGCTTATTGACATCGGGGACCAGATTGCTTCAGCTCAACAGTTTTAGAGGGGAAAGGAAAGTGTGTGGAGTCGAAGTCTGCGAGAAATTTCAATTTCCTTCGTGGAGAGGAAAGCAAAGGAAGGAGAAAGTTCAGATCGTTGAAGGTTGACGAAAAGGAAGCTGAAGACTAATGGCGAGGCTACCTCTGTACGCTATAACCCTCTTCTGTTGCTGTGTGCCTCAGATGACAGACTAACGCCGGGGAATTCATCTCCCTGAACGAGACTGTGGTCTCCGATGGTGGAGCCTTTGCGTTAGGCTTCTTCTCGCCTACGAATTCCACTCAACAGTTTCAGTTCCCTCGGAGGGATATTGAGGAGAGTGTGGAGTCAAAGCCTGCGAGAAATTTCAATTCGCTTCGTGCATGGGGAGAAGGAACCGTAGCTTTGTACTTGGAGGAAGCTCGGATCGTTGAAGGTTGACGAAAAGGAAGCTGAGGTTTAGGAACATCTTAGTCGGGAGACTAGGTGACTTGGGATTGTCCTGGGTCATTGAACGAATCTTAGTATCACATCGATGTTTGTGACGAGGTGGATGCATCCACGTATGAAAAGATTGGTTGTTGGCTCTCCTGAATGAAAATATTATAAGTCGGATGGAGGACCTCCTTGTTCAGAGTGTTTATTGGTGAATATTCCTACGACAATAAGCTCTCCTTCTAATGCAAAAAACATTAGAAAAAAAAATCGTTGATATCTTGATCAACCTAACATGGTCTAGACCTATATGCGAAGAGCAAAAACATCAAGCTCTTAAGGTACCACTTGTACAAAGATCAATGTTAAAAAAGATTTTTCGATTCAATACCTTTGACGCTTAAGTTAGTAACATAAAGTGTGTGAGTATGGATACGAGTGATAAAAACAAGTCATATTTGTTGAAGATAGTATTCATATATATAATCATAAAAAGACAAGAAGAAACTTTGTGAGTATCTTTTTTAGTTATAAAGGACAAGAAAAAAGTTTATGATTTTCTAATTTAAATATTTGTCCACATAGATAGATAGGTAATGGAGTGACCTTCTTTTTTTTACTTTTGACACTACATGCAAATTATACGTTGACTGATAATTCATCGATAATGTATTAATTATCACTAGTGAAGCATTGGTTCGATTTTACAGTGTTGATTGGGGGCATCGAGGGCGATCCCAAGTTGGATCTAATGCTGCACGATAGAGGTTGAACGATGCAAGAGAGCGTGCGATGACGGTGCTGAACCTCTCGTTGGAGGAGATCGACAAGGGGCGGATCACAACGACGAGCGTGATTAAACTACTAGTTTACGCGATGCGGATGCGGACATCGATCACGAAGTGTGTCGGGCGGGATCGAGGCGTGAAGAATGATCCCACCGCCGGTGGTGCTTCTGGTGGTGGGGTTGAGTCGGGGCAAGATGGACGCCCTCGCCACGCTCTACAAGCTATGCCCCAAGTAATGGAATCCATCGAGGTTTTTCTGAACACCAATATTATAGCTCCGTAAAGCCAAGAATGGCATTGAAGTTTTTTCGAACGATCATATATTTCGCTTCCACCTGAAGGGCAGACACTACCTCGATCGATGAGATGAACAAAGTGAGGGTGTACAGGAGGAGGAGAAGAGATAAAAGAGCCATCTTGTCCTCGTCACATTGCCAATCAGATTTAATTAAGCTAAAATTATATCAAATCAAATAAAGAAATCACATCAATTATTCCATGCTCATCCTCATTTATTCCGTCACAAGTGTCTCCAACTATATATAATACCTCAGTGACAATCTTTTGTCAAACTCACTACTGCAAGTTGTGATAACATCGACAGTCTCATCATGTTGTGACCGTCATGTGTCAGACCTGAAGGCAGAATGCGAAGTCAAACAATACACCACGATAGATTCACAAACAAGTGAATTTTCTACATAATAGACCTCTGCTTGCTTGTTGGTGTCTCTGCTCAACATATTTTGAGATGGGTCTCTAGCGTCCTTCTGCAGCTGTGACGGTCACGTTGTTGTAAGAATACACCTGGTAGGTGTCATCTGGTGGATGACCTGTATCTGGATTCAGGTTTCTTTGAATTGTAAAGATGGGCTGTTTGGGTGCTGCAGAGATTGTGGCTTCTTCGTTTTCCAGCATGAAAACAACTGAAGACATGGCTGGCCGATCACTGGGGCTGTCTTGCACGCACAGTAGGCCGACATGGATGCTTCGCACCACCTCCGCCCGAGCGCATGAGCAGGCAATCGATGGGTCGACGTAATCCTCTGCGTTGCCTTCGTTCCACAGTTGCCATGCCTGAATCATTGCAGGTCCAAAGTGAGCGGCAGAATCCATAGCTAAGCATCAACAGACGTGGGCGTCAACTCACGTAAGCCAGGAGATTAGGGGAGTCCATGGCGAGGGGAAAGCTGCTGTTCCGGAAGCCGCTCACGATCTCCAACAGCAGCACGCCGTAGCTGTAGACATCCGACTTCACGGAGAAGAGCCCTTCCATTGCGTACTCGGGAGACATGTAGCCACTGAAACGCACCTCACCACACATCAATGGCCTTCATGCTTAATTAGCATCAACTCACTTCCGTGGACGATGATGAAGCTTACTTACTATGTTCCGACGACTCTGTCGGTGTTGGCTTCGTCCTGGTTGCCGCCAAAAATCTTTGCCAGGCCGAAATCAGACACCTTGGGGTTCATCTCTTCGTCGAGCAGAACGTTGCTGGCTTTAAGATCCCGGTGAATTATCCGTAGCCTCGAATCCTGGTGAAGATAGAGAAGCGCTCGAGCGATCCCCTTGATTATGTTGAATCGCTTCCCCCAGTCAAGCTCTGTTTTCTGGGTTGGATCTGCTCAAAGAGCTATCAGGCACAACCTATCTGGAATTCTCAGTGACTATAAGAAAGTGAAAGAGTATGACGAACCAAAGAGGAGGAAATCCAAGCTTTTGTTGGGCATGTACTCGTAGACCAGTAGCTTCTCTTCCCCATGGATACAGAAAGCAAGAAGCTTGACTAAGTTCCTGTGCTGTAACTTGGCAATCAAAATGACCTCATTTTTGAACTCCTCCATACCTTGCCTGGATCCTCTCAAGAGTCTTTTAACAGCAATCTCTTTTCCTCCTGGTAGGTTTCCCTGAAATTAGATTTTTTTTTAGAAAAGAATCAACTTCATTGTCATCATTGATATCCTTCATCATAGGATATCTAATAGACATCGAGGAATCCATCTGCTCAAAAGGAAGATCATGACCTTTTCCTTTTCTTTCTTGTACACTATATAAAGTAACATATATAGTGAGGTTGGTGACAAAGGAATGAGGTCAAACACTATCAAGAATTCAACATTACGATAAATTCAGGTTTAATACTTACCTTGTAAACTATGCCAAAACCTCCTTTTCCCAGCTTATTTGACTCGGAGAAATTGTTTGTGGCCAAGAGTATGTTCTCAAAACCAATTAGCGGAAGTTCTGGACCTTGATGAGGCTTCCCTTCTATGAATTCGTTCGAGCCAGAGATGTTGTTTGCAAAGTCTGTACTTGAGCTCAGATCACATAGTAGTTTTCCATTCTTTGGATCCTTGAATACACCTGGTTAGGCAGTTGAGTCAACCAAATTCTCATAGCCGATCAATTTGGTTCCTAAAACTTGTAGGGACACAACTTACCAAATACCTCACTGAACTTCCATAAGATAAAGATGCAAGCCAAACAAACGATAATCGCAGAAAGAGATACTATAATTACTATCCTCCGAGCCTTCGTCTTGCTGCCTGATGTTCCTGTTTACAGAAATAACTTCAGATGCATATTCTGAAACAAAGTTCGATAAGCATTGTCAAGTGAAAGCTCCTAAGAATTCAAGATGGTGCAGCATATCTTATTGTAGATAGCAGAAAGAATAGCAGCTATATGTCAGTGGAAAGCTCAGTTTCCTGCAGTGATCAATATGTATTCATGTTCCACAACCTCAACAAGACTACCACATACTACCACCAGTGTTGCTATGAAATAATAATATCCAAAGGGAAAGAGATAAAATGCATACCTAAACTGATATCCATTAGGCGCAAATAGAGATCCTCCCCACCACTGCTTAACATCCC